GCTCAGAGCTCATGCTCTTAATCAACTGAGCCACTTGGCCAGCCCTCAAATATATGTTTTGCAATCTTAAATATAATAACAAAGTAAAGAAGACAATTTACAGTTTAAAAAACTCTTGCAAAAGACAGGAAGAACAAAATTGTTTTCTTTCCTGGGTTTGAGAAAATGCTAGATATGACAACCAAGTCAAATTTATTACAATTTTTTTTTAAGATTTTTATTGGGGAATTGGGGGAGGGGAACAGCGCTGGGGAATCGGGGGAAGGGGAACAGACAAGTTGCTGTCATTTTGTTCTTCAGTCTAGTTCTGGAGGACGTTGCTTCACTGGCCCATGTTGATATTATCATTGCACTCTTGCCGGGTGAGGCAGATGGGTCACTGGCCTCTGGATGGCTGCTCACGGTGGCTCTTGGCAGCTCACACCGGCTTCCAGCTGCTCACGCTGGCTGCCAGCCACACACAGTAGTTTATGGCAGCCCACTGCAGCCGGGGCTGCAGCCTATGCCGTCGCCAGCGACTCAGCCCAGCAGCCCAGCTCCAGGTCGAGCTGTTGTTCATCATCTTAGCTATAGAAGGCAGTGTCACTGGCCCCATGTGGTATCCAAACTGGGGCCCTGCTGCTCAGAGCTGGCATCCCAAGCCAGCTCTTAACCAACACGCTACTCAGCCAGCCCTATTACTATTTTTAATGCAAGTAATGGTCATATGACTGTAATAGACAGTAGTAGTCACATGACAGTTGTCTACTGATCTCATCATTCATCCCTATGGAAATACAAAGTCCCAGCAGAAAGCATTACTAACTTTGGAAGAACTCCAAGATGACAAAACAAAAAGGCCCAAGACAACAATTATTCTTAAAGAAAGCTATTTAAATTACCTCTAGATTTTTATGACATTAGGAATGCACAAAAATGATTAATATGGGGAAGAAAATATTTTCACTCATTCTCTTAATGAATTTTATGAAATGTCTTTGTGGGCAAATGTTGCCTTAAGTGTCACAGGACAGACAGAGTTTATGGTCCCAAAAGGATGTAGGATGTGAATATAAATCACAAGATTACCAGATAGAAATGGACAAGAACTAAGGGTGGGTCGTGTACGATTTGTGATGCTACTGATGATTCTGCATTGTTTCTAAAAATTAAAAATTAAAAGTTTGATCCCAGGGTGGCAAAAATTTCTTGTAGGTGCTATACAGCAATCAGGGCAATGTTAATCGAGAAAACCTTTATCTACTGTAAGTTGTGTAAGAAAATGATGAAAGATTAGAATGTACCCTATATAATTTGCTCTCCCAAATAATTGCACTAAAAGTTGCCATTTATTACAGTCACATGATAAACATAAATTAATTTTTTGGTCACTCTTCTTCACCTGGAACATATCCTTTAATGAAGCATGTTCTCAAATTTCACTTCTGTGCCAACAAGGAGATAGTAATTACAGATAACATTTTATAAGCATTTCTGCATTGTTAAGCACTTAAAATATTATTTCACTTAATTTTTGGAACATCCCAATGAGGAAAGTATTATCATTGTCTCCATTTCATGAAGGCAAAAAATCTACTACAGTTTGGAAAACTGAATAACTTGCCCAGAATTACAAGCTAGCAAATAGTTTGAGATTGGAATCCAATTCATCTGGGTCCATAGGCGTCACTCCAACTCTAGGCTGCCTCAGTACCAGATGAATTAAAGAGACAAGTCTCTGCATTCACATTATTGCCAGCCAAGTCAACGAGCCCGCAGGCAGTTACTGCAATATTTCCACACTCCTATGACTGTAACAATTGAACTCAGACACTCAAAACAGCAATAATTATATGCTCACAGCAATAACTTACAAAAGATATAAATACTTCCAGACCACATGAAGCTTATAGTCTACCAACATTTGTATATTACAATTTCTATCTTCCTACCTACCTTATCTACTGTTTTAAATTCTTATATTTCCAGAACAAACAGAATAAGACCTTTCACAAAATGATAATAGGATTGTTCAAACAAGAAGTGCAAACGGCGGTAGTGAAGAGGGATGGGTGAGACCGAAAAACAGTGTAAATGAGGTAGAAAGTATAAATGAAATACACAGGGAGGTGAAGGTAAAGAAAGTGATGATTACGTTTGCTTTGTTTGTTTGTGCAAGAGAGGGAAGTAAAAAAAAGAAAACTCAGTGTTCTGAGCCTCAGGTTCAGATGCATAGCCAGTGTGGAATAAAACAGCAAATACTTTTCCATGAGCCGTTTGTTCCTTTATCTAGTCCATTGATCAGAGATCAAACTCATGCAGCTATATTACATCTCAGTGGAAAAAAAAAGGCTCTGAATTGAAAGATTGCAATTCCCCCACCAAATTAATTTCATTATTTTTAGTTTCAACAAAGGCCAAATACACAACCAGGGTCAAATGTAAAATGCATGAGGTTTCTTCAGAAATGCATAAACTGTAAATGAGGGTTTTCCTTTGTAACTAAGGGTGATATTCTTAAAATTACATTAATGATTCTCAAGGATTTGTTTATATGCATCCACATCCTCTCTACATATTCTTTTTTTCTTCCTACTCCCACTTTTTTCTTTTATTTAAGTATAGTTATTATACAATATTATATTAGTTATGTTAGTGTCAAGTGTACAATGTAGTGATTTGACATTGTTATACCTTACAATGTGATCACCCCACTAATTCTAATATCATCTGTCACCATGCAAACGTATCACAATATTACTGATTATATTCCCGTTCACCATTTTCACCCATCCCCCATCCCCTTCCCCTCTGGTAACCACTCCTTTGGGCTCTGTTTCTATGAGCCTGCTTTGTTTTGTTTTGTTCGTTTTCTTTTCTTTTCTTTTAGATTCCGCATGTAAGTGAAACCATACAATGTTTCTCTGTCTGAATTATCTCACTTAGCATAATACCCTATAGGTCCATCCATAATCCTAAAATTTGTATGGAACCACAAAAGACCACAAACAGCGAAAGCAATCTTGAGAAAGAACAACGTTGAAAGTGTTATGCTCCTATACTTACTTTAACCAACTCCCAGTCTCTATGACCCTGGGCTTTAGAAAACTAAATACACTATTTTAATATTAATCAAGCAGGCTGATTAGTAGCAGCTATCTGCAAACTGGCAGTTGAAGTGGTAGTTGTATAATTTAAATCCATTCTTGAATGATGTTTGTTTATTCAATGTTATAAACAGCCACCCCAAAAATCTAAGAGGGAAAAAATGTAGTTCAAGGTGCAAAATGTCTGCAGTATTTTAGGGAAAATCACTTTAATATTTTCTTCCTTTCTCCCCTAGTCCCTTTGTAAACTTTATGATTAAAAAAAATGAATGAGATATGAAAGGAATGGAATATTACTATTTCTGCATGTAAAAAAGAAAACTGGTGTACTCAGAGGGCTGTCTGATGTCCTACAGAGGGCACAAACTCATTACCAGAAAGATCCTTGAATGCACATACCTGTGCACATTATTTCTCATAGCAATTATCTAAAATTCAATGTCTGCACTTTCAGTAAAATCAGATACATTTGCTCATGCAAAATAGTGACTTTTGTAAATAATGCCAAATAAAGTCTTATTAAATAAGTATCTATTAAACAAATTTAGACAATATAAACATGGACAAAGATGTTCAACAATGGAAACCAAAGCCAGTTCTTTCAGGGCCTGTTTATAAAAAGCACTAATACTAGAGTTTAAGGTCAATGTGCAGATCTGTTTGCTCATAAAACATTAATTGCATAAATGTTAAGGACCAGTAGCCAATTACAAAGGTCTAATTCCATAGGCATACCTATTATAGCCACTTATCCAAGTGTGATTGATGTTCCTTACAGAAAACAAAGTCAGTTGATTAATGTATTTTATAATGCAATGTTTTAAATGAAAAGAAATAACTTATTTAAGTGCTCATTTTAGTACTGAGATGACTGTTACCCAGTTTTGTAAAAACATGTAATTATTTAAATTGTGCATGGGTTAGAATTAGTCTTGGTGCAAAAGTTCTCCACTGGGGGTGGTGGGGAGCTTCTCTGCTGGCGGGCCTGGGCCTGACCATTCTTCCTTCACTAGATTATAATGCAGAAATTCACCCTTCCGGCCTGCCTTTAACCATTTCACTGTTCCTTTGTAGGATTCCAAAGGTTGAACATGCTTGTATCCACTTAAGAATAGTCATATATTCTGCTTATTAAAAAGATGAAATGCACCTTAATGCCAAAATACACTTTCTATAAGAACAATATTTCATTACTGCTCTTGGACGTGAAAAGAGTGTGTGTGTGTGTGTGTGTGTGTGTGTGTGTGTGTGTGTGTGTGTGTTGAGGGAAGCGTCCTCCATCCTAGTGACATGGTTGTCAACTTTCTGGAGAACCTCAAGGGACCATGCAAGAACTCAGGAGCATCAGACCTGTCCTTAGCATTAGAAATGACGTTGGTGTCAGGCGATGCTATACATAGGTAAATTAACCAGATGTCTCACCAAGAAAACCCATCCCACTTGGTTTAAGAATTGGGGCTGATCCTTGAAAAGTAGGAATACGCCATTTCTTAAACTCGCAGCAGCCAACATACGTATTAGGTTACCTTGCACATCTGCCATATTCTGCATCAGAGAAAGGCACCCGAAGGTTCTTTTCAAAGTCGCTGAGGAAACCAGACTATCAAACAATCTAAGTGTCCATGCTTCAGCTAAAAGAGAAACAACATTCTGTCCTCCTTTCCTGCAAGCCCTGCCTCTGATGGTGAACAGCGGAGGCTTATCTCCGAGAAAGTTGAGCAAAAGCCTGTCACAACGTGTTTGGAAAGAACATAAGGACCCAGGAAAAGTGCAAAGAGGGTGCCCAGGTGAGTTAGTGGAAGTCATTGCAAAGAGCGCAATTTTCCGAAGGGTGCCTGGCAAGGTGAATGCGGCAGGCGGAGGGGTAGGGCTTCCAAGGAAAGACAAGCAGGCCTGGATCCTGCAGCTACTCACGCCTCTCCGCCATCCGAGTCGCTGTCCGAGGCCCACTCCTCACCGATGTCCGGAAGGGTGAAGAACAGGGTCTTGGGGCCAGGCCCAGGGGGCATCCAATCGCTGGGTTCTCGCTCTCCGGGGCCAGGCTGGCAGGGGTTCCGTGGGCTCGAAGCTAAACTGCTGCTGCCTGTGGTGCCTCCAATCGACGGCAGCGGGGCCCAGGTGCCGCCAGGGCCGGGGAGTGGCCTTGCCTCTGCCACCAGGTGGACTGGGGAGCCCGCGGCGCTGCAGCCATTGCTGGAGGAGACCAGGGGCAGGGACTGGGCCAGGGGCTGGACTTTGGCTGCTCTCGGGTTACTGGGCAGAGAGAAGGGGGTCCCTATTGCTTCTGCTGCGCGGTTTGCGACAGAGACCCTGGGGTAGGAGGCAGTGAGCAAAGGATGGAGCAAGACGGTCGACCCCCGAAAGGCGGAGGGGGAGTCAGGAGGCATGGCAGGGAGAGTCAGGGTGGAGGCAGTGCTACGCTCTGTGCCCACCGGCCCCGAGGTGGCAGCGCCTCCCGAGTGGCTGGAGGCCGAGGCGATCGGCGAGGGGACGGCCGGAGGCGCCGTCGAGGTCTTGAAGATTCTGGCAAAGAGAGACCCAAGGTCCAACACAGCGACCTTCATGTCCCAGTCTTGGAGATTCTGTCCCCGATGTTGCCTGAACCTCAAGAACACCGGGAGCAGGGCTTCGGAGCTCCATCCACCGCTGCCCACAGGGATTGGGATGAGGCGGCCCGGGGTGGGGATGGGGATTCCGGGTACCCGCAAGCCGCTGAGCCACAGAGGCCTCTAGTGCGTTCCGCACGCCGAGGACCGTCTCCTTGGGCGCTCAGCCCCGCAGCACTTGAGACCCCCCTTCCCGACGCCAGGCGATCCGCAGGGCGCGGAGGCTGCTGGCGGCGGCCGCCTCCTGCGGGGAGTTGTCCCTTCTCTGCCCTGTGCTGCGAGGCCCCTGAGAACCAAGGGTCGAGGAACGCACGGAGGCGACGTGCTGCAGGTGCTAGGGCCACCGCGGGCTGGGGGTGGCGATTTGAGCCTCCGCCCGCTGGAGATACCCCGTCGGGCCCCCAGGACAGCGCGCGGGCGGTTGCTAAGCTAAACAAAAACCCTGCTTAGCTCGCTGCTAATTGGGCCCCGGATAGCAGCTTGGAACTGTGTCCAAAATAGATACCCTAGGTCCCACCTTGATTCGTGCCTTAAAGGAACACTATCTAATTTCTCAATCATCCTTAGAGCTTCACCAGATTCACCAAGTGCTGTGCCGAGGGCAAGGGATTTGAACAGAGAGAGCCCTGGGAAAGATAACCCTGCTTCAAAAAGATTTGAAACTTATATATCCAGTCTGACAAGACCAAATGTGCCAAGGTCAGGGAGTTGGCCAGCTCTTTGACATGCGGGAAGGTTGGTTAAAAACGTGAATTTAGGTGAGTGGACTTGAAACAGCAGTGCCCCTCTCCTCTCATGTTCAAAGTTTGTCACTAAAGGTGACATAAGGGAACAACAGAGGGGGGGCCTCATCCAAGAACTAGGAAATAAGAGGGGGCTCTGACAGCTAAACTTGTAAAATCCACATACAATGTGTGTGCTTAAACCAAGAGATTTAATAACTAAAATGTTTTGACAACTCAAACTATAATCAGACTGATTAGATACAAACTCAAAGGCAGATATGAAAAGTAACAGTTTCTTATTAAGTGGAATAAATTGCATTTTTGAAATGTTTAAAGAAATGTATGTGAAAGGTAGAGTGAATGTGATGATCTGTAGGAGTCTGGGGTCAGTTCTGAGCAAGATTTAAAAATAAGATTTGGAGGGCCAGCCAAGTGGCTCAGTTGGTTAAGAGCTTGCTCAAAAGTGCAAGCTCTGAGCAACAGCAGTTTGATTCCCGGCCCAAGCTGAGCTGCCGCTGAGCTGCCAACAGGCGGCAGGATGGCTCAGTTTTTTTTTTAAAAAAAAGAAGATTTGGACAGGGTTTATTCATTAATATTCAGAAGATATAGTTTCTGATTTGGGTCAGGGAAAGGAGATGAATAAGTCTTGTAATGGATAAATTAACTGACATTCATAATATACATTACATAACATCCACTGTGTACATCAGTCTTTTGCAAGTTATCAAACTGAATTCTGAGCCACAGTAAATTTCCATGGTAATGCCACACTTTGCATCTCCTTGTAGACCGCTAACCCATCTTCTACTTATGATACCCACATCCTGTCAGGACATCTTTTCTGAATCCAAGCAGCACCATGAACAAACATGTGCTGATCACGTTTCTATTTCAAGATTGTGTTAAACATTGAGATGTAAATGAGGAGATGTTCTCTTCCTACAGCATGGGCTAATCAGGATCCCATCACATGCTAAGTGTCAGGTGAGTGTCCCAGAAAACAAGGGCAGTTGGTGGCAGCCATTGCAGTCAGCATTAACTTGGGGAAAGAATACTTGTGTGCTTAAGAGAGGTACAAGACAAAGCCAGTAGGGTCTGACTGTAAAGGGCCTTGGATGTTGGAAGAGGGAAAAACATACAGTTGTCAGTATGTGGAGCACCAGCACACAGTGAAAAATCAAATTGAAGGAAAGAGGGAATAAGTAACAAACACATCTGAGGGCAGCAGTGGAAACTAGAGGGTCAGCTCAAGGAAGCTGTGTCAAAGACACCAGGACCATCTACATTTGTTATATTCTCATTGTTCTTCTTTCTTAGCCTCATCAGGTAGCCATAGAGGTGTGTGAGGTCTGACAGAATGTTGTACTATTTTTATACAGCACTCATTCAGGATTGCAAAGCTGTTTCCTAAAGATTTTTTCTTTTTATTTCATAAGGGTCTTGTTTCTGATTCATAGAACAATTAAATCCTTAATATATTAAAATTGACTCACTCTCGGGCCAGCCGGGTGGCACGTTGGTTAGGAGTTGGCTTGGGACACCAGCTCTGAGCAGCAGGGCCCTGGTTCAGATCCCACATGAGGGCCAGTAATGCTGCACCCTCTACAGCTAAGATGGTGAAAAATAGCTCAACCTAGAGCTGGGCTGCCATGAGTCGCTGGTAAAGGCATGGGCTGCAGTGGGGCTGGCCAGCAGCGGGGGTGAGCTTTCGTGAGCTTTCCTGAGCTGCTGTTAGCCGCCATGAGCAGCTGACCAATGGCCGGTGAGCGACTGCCTCACCCGGGAAGAGCGCAATGATCACAATACCAACATGGGCCAGTGAAGCGGCATCCTCTACAACTAGACTGAAGAACAGAAGGACAGCAACTTGTCTATTCCCTTTCCCCGATTTCACAACTCTGTTCCCCTCCCCCAATTCCCCAATAAAATCTTAAAAAAGAAAAAAGATTGACTCACTCTCAATACAAGGAGAATCATTTCTAGAATATACACTTGCAGTGCTTAAGCAGCTAATCATCTGATTGATTTTTGGGCCCTCACAGCTGAGCAGCCTTTCAAGATGAAGCCCCACTAACCTGACTCATAAAATACAGATGCATAAACCCCAACTCAAATGTGTTAACCAGTAACTACACAACTGCAATGTTGTCCTCTGCTCTTTTCCTATGAGAGAAATTCCTGTTAAGACCAAATTAAGTTGAGAGATTGTTAGGTGAGCATAGAATCAAAGCACAGGGAGTGTGTCATATAGTTCATATAAAGGGGGCATTCACAGTAAAAGCCAATTATCCTCCTCCTTGTTGGAAGAGCAACCCTGCATGAACAGTGGATCATTCACCTGTCTTGCTCTCTAAATTTAGATATTTCTATGCTTTCATTACCAATCACTTCTCTTCTGTGCACATAGTTTTCTTTAAGTATGCTGAGACTGTTAATAAAGCTACAGAAAATCTGCAAAATCTTTCAGACCCTGGCCTTGAAAACATTCTGTCTCTAAAGTGTGCTTACATGTCTCCCATATGTTATGGGTTGAATTGTGTATCTCAAAAAATATGTTGAGGTTCTAACCCCCAGTTTTAGGGAATGTACCTTATTTGGAAATATGGTCTTTGTAGATGTAATCAAGTTACAACAAAGTCATTAGGAAAGGCCCTAATCCTGTATAACTGCCATACTCTTAAAAAGAGAGAAATTTGAACACAAACACACAGGGAGAACACCAAGTGATGACAGAGGCAAAGAATGGAGTGATAACAGCTGCAAGACAAGGAACATCAAGGACCGATGGCCACCACTAGAAACTAAGAGGAGGGAAGAGAGAGTCAGAGGGAGTATGGCTCTGCCAGCATCTGATATCAGACTTCTGGTTTCCAGAATTATGAGAGAATAAATTTCTCTTCTTTGAAACCATCCAGTTTGTGGCACTTTGTTATGGCAGCCCTAGGAAACTAATACACTACTGGGGTACTAATTAAGTACTAGGGTACTTCATGATTATAGTATCTTGCAGGTGCCTTTATGAAAGTCTTCAGTGGGTGTATATGCTCTAAAAAGCTGGCTACAAATTAAAATGATAACTGTAACTGTCTCAAATCTATAGGGAGAATGATAGGAATTCTACAAAGGATGGGGGAAGAAGTATCATTGTTGTTTAAGGCAGTGAATGTAACAGTCTGGCCAGCCAGTTGGCACAATGAATAAATGACTGATCCTTTTGTTTGCAGGTCCTTTGAGAATGACCTATCATTGCAAACATGATAAACAATTATTAGCAAGATGTTAGGTCTTTCATACCCATTGTCCATCCATCAACAGTCTTTCAGAGATATTCGATGCTACCAGGCTTCTTTGTTAATTACCAGTTGCTTGCCATTCTCATAACATGAGCCCCAGGTGATGTATCATAGTGGTCTGGCCCAGGCAGAGTAAGGAAGTGAAAACAAATGCAGTAAATCATGGTTTCTAGCTGTGACAGTGTTGATTTTAAAAAGACTTTATTAGAAATGTCGAAGCAGTGTTTTGTGTGATAAAATCCTTTTGCTTATGTTGGTTAATTAACAATTTGAAGAACTGATTTTCTGATGTGTACAACAATGCCTGGCTACATCATTAAGAAAGTATTAGGAAGTTATGACCATATTGCAATGAAGAAATGTTTCGTATTGAAAACCTGGAATTTAAAACAAATAACCTGAGTAATTAACCTGTTTAAGAATTTAAATTGCCTTACTTATCATGACACTAAGGCCAGAACCGATAAAGAAAAATATTGTCAAATTTGATTATAAAAATTTTAAACTTCTGAACAGTAAAAGGCATTTGTTCATTCAACAAATACTCACTAAGCACTGCACTGGAGACAATACAGTCTGGTAGACTCTGGAGATGGACACTAGATTCATGGTGTTTCTGCCACTGACCCACACCCAGGCCTCTCTCTCTGTCCCTTAATGGTTACTATCTCAAATAATGGTCCTTTGTGAGTCACATGAATGAACACATGCTTGGTAACTGGAACAGAGCTTAGCACAGGGTAAGCTGTCAGTAGGTGTTAGTTTTTATTATATGTGATACCAGGTTACATTGAACACCCTGCAAAAAGATCTGGAAGGAAATTACAGCTACATTTACATCCAAGTGTATTCCTTTTTGTACTACTTAAATGTTTTCAGTAAGTGTGCCTATTAAAACAGATAGAAGCCCTCAAAAACCTTTAGGCAAATTCTTTTTTTTTTTTTTTTGATATATGATTAAGGGCTGTAGATGCTACCAAGGGGAAAAATTCAAAAACAAAATACAACTTTAAACTGATCAAAA